GACTGAGCCACCCAGGCGCCCCTCCTGATCACCTTCTATTGTGCAAAGGACCTTCCAGAGCACTGCAGAGGAATCTAAATAGAGAAATCAGGGCTTACAGTCTGGCAAGGAGATAAAGTACTATCACCTAATGTCAGAAAGCACCTCCTAGGATCTTGATGATGTCATAATAAAGTCTCTTAGTTCTAAATGAGCATCAACACAAAATGCTGACAGATACAGGGGGCAGACACATTATAAAAAGAGAAATTACTCACAACCTTAAAAAGTTACTCTTGTTGTACTACTCTGTAGATGAGAGAACACTCTTGCTTTTCCATTGGTGATGGCGGTGGGCATGCATTTGCACTGAGTCATCCACAACTACACACCAAGTTCCTGGTGACCGAAAGCTCACTAGAATTAAGGCTCAGGCAGTAGCCACAGAACAGACTCAAGGTGTAATCTGTGCCCACATATACTGCAACCAGCATCTTGGCTGGGTAGCCACCATCCTTTCATGCATTGCTTGCCAATCTTCTGCACATCAGGATGCACTGGGCTAAATGGAGAACCTGGCTTGTGACCGGGAGCAACTGGTCTAGAAACTTCGCTCCCTCAGGCCATGCCAGCCAGCCCACCTAGGGACCAATATTTCTGCATCTCTAAACCATGCCCCTGTCCCATCAGGGTGCCTCCAGCCAATGGGTTGGAAAGTTCTGCCCTGACTACTCACTTCACTGGAGACTTAGGCCCCCAGTTTTTTAATTTATTTTCACAGACCCCTGTTAAGGGCATCAACTCAGGCCCTGGAACACAGAGAATCCACTGAAAACTCATCAGTCTGTGTTGAGGCAGGCTTGTCCTCAGCTCACATTTCCACATGAGGTCAGAGCGTCTCAGTCACTTGCAGGAAGCCTTCCCAACCTTAGGAAGAAGTGTCTCTCCCAACCCCCAGATAAGACTCTGTTCCCTGGGAAGCTGAGGCACAGGATATAATGTGGGCCTGGTATAGCTGCCTTGGCACCCTCAAAATCACAGGCTCACCACAGCTGCAGCTGACACCCTCCTGAGAAAAGACCAGTTTCCTCAGGGACAGACTGCCCAAGACTCCCACCTACTCCTGTCTCAGCCCTTGCAGATGTCCCTCCATAGGCCACCCCCTGCTAGCTGACTTGTAACAACAGCTCTGCTTACCGTCTTCACGAAGTATAAGCTATCTTCACTGTCCAGAGGCACAATCCTGGAAGAGGAAGAAACAGGAGAAACACATATTACATTTACAATGCTCTCTTTTCTCAACTTGGCAGCAACCCACAGACCCAGATTTCTTTCAGGGCTTTTCAAAGCACTGGGTTACATGCATGCAGATTTAGTACATAGGCCACTGGACGGAATTAGGTCTGCCCTTTACTCCCAGGCCTCAGTCTTTCAGTGGGAAGCACTCAGGGTACAGGGTCTCAGCTGAGTATAGCCAGTCCCAGGCCCAATCTTGGCATGATGCCATTGCCAGGTGTAGAACTCTAAGAAGACCAACTACATCAGCAGTTACAAGATAGCCTATCTTCTCTTTTTCTTCCTAAAACTTGCCCCAAATGAGCACACATAACAAACACACACTTACCTTCCCTGATTATTCACAGCATGGATATGAAAAGCCATCTTGGAGCTGTAGACCCAAAACAAAATAAAAAGTCAGTCTGTTCTCGCTAACCATACCGTTGGCCACCCCCCAGACACCTGCTGCTGCACTGCACCTGTGCTGGGCCCTCATGGCACATTTGCCAAGTGCGGGGCCAGTGTCTGACTCCAGTCACAGCTCTGCCTCTGTGCAGATTCTCAGGGCTGGCTTGTCTTGGACATAGCAGGAGAGAACCATGTGCCAGAACTGTTGTCCATTGCAGACTGGGAAGACCCTGTACTGGCCCATAGCCCCCTGCCCCACAGCTAGGACATATTGTCCCGATCCTCCTTTTCTTTACTACCTTTGGGTCAAGCTGCCATTCCCGCTCAGAGCCCAAGCAGAGGCCAAGTCTTATGTTCCTCTCAGGAGATGATTTGCTAATCTGATGTAGTGTGAGGGTACTCAGTGAAGTGACCTTGTGGAGAGAAGGGAGGGAGGCTCCAGATGGGAGGGCTGGCCCTGGGAGATGCTCCTCCCCTTGCCTGGTATTCTTTTCTTGTTCCTTCCTCCAGCTAGGGAGGTATGCCCAGGCCTAAAAGGCTTTGGGATGGAAAGGTGGCCTGCCCTGGAAAGGCTGAGCGGCCTACACAAAGCTCTGGAAGAAAGGAGGAAGAAAGGAGGAAAGGGACATGCCCGCCATGTCCATGGTGACACAGAAGACCCCCATGTGACAGCAGCTAACATTTACATGCTTAGTCACTCTGCATGGTGGGAAGACAAGAAAACAGATGTACAGAGAGCTCCTTGTCTTGCCCAAAGTCACAGCTGGAAAGCAAAGGAGCTTTCTCAAACTCAGGTCTGCCAGGAACAGATAGTCCAGGCCAGAGGAAGGCCTTAAGGAATCAAATTTCTTCTATCCCTCTCCTCTCATGGCCAGAGCTACAAGATCCACAAGACCCAGAGGAAAGAGGCCTGAAGTCTTGCACCAAAAAGATCTGGCTCTTTCCTCTGCTCCTGGAGCTGCAGCAACAGAATTCTTGTTAGATCAACTGACTGACTTACTGTTTTCAATGTTCTTTCTTACTACCCAGGGCTGTAGATGTAAGAGAACATGGGGCAAGGAGCTGAGGCACCACAGGGCACATCCCGTAAGTGTTCTAAAAAAAATTCCCCCAAAAAGTGCAAAAAAGTGCACCTAGTGGTCCTCATACAGGACAGGTGAAGGGTTAGGTGGACTGGGTTCATGAAAGTTTAGCTATGGACACAGACTACACAGAGGGCCCCTGGGATGTGCCCGATGTAGTATGATGGTTGGACTGCCAGCAAGTCCGATTCCCAGAACGTCTAGCCCCTGAGACAAGGCCAGGCTCAGGGTGTCTATTACCTGAGAGGCATCGGAGGCCCAGGGCCAGGCTCTCCTAAGCAGGGACTGTCTCTATGAGGCCAGTGACCCTGACCCTAACAAACTTCACCCCTCATGTCCCCGCTTCACCTTTCTAACCTCTAAACCGGGGTCCTTCAGGTCTCTGATGTTTCTGCCATTGATCTGCCTCCCATTCTGGCACCAGGAAATGTGTCTGACTCTTTCTCTTACAGTTCCTCCATCTTTGGCTGCTTGTCCTCTCAAAGCCCTGATCATGAATGTTTCTCTTTCAGACATTCCCTTATTTTATTGGAAAATTTCTCAGAGGGAAGATGGAATATCAAATACAAGACAGAAAAGGGTCTTTATAAAAAAAATAATAATAATTCCTTATAGAAAATAGCAGCCGTTGCTTACCGTAGGGCTGCCTTAAACTGCATCAACTCAAAGGAATCTAACCCAGATCCCAGGGTCTGCTCAGCTACCTCCTTTGCCTGTAAAAGCAATGACAAAACAGAGACAATTAGCTTTCACAGCAGGAAAGAGTACACATCACTGATAGGAAGCACTCTTCTAACATTTGGCCAGGAGAACACTGTGCCCCTCCCCCCTACACAACTGCTTTGTATACATCAATAGATCAAAGTGAAAACATTGTGTTAAGGGAAACAGGTGCCTGCTTTCTTTGGGCTGGGTTCACAGGAAACACTTCATTCAGGCAGGTGGGCATTGGAAACTGATCTGCCGGAAACTGTAACCAGCCGGGATGATGCCATTGTGAGGTCTGGAAAAGGGTTTCCTCCCCTCTCCCTTGGCCCTGGGGGAGGGACTACTGCCCTTGGAGTTTCTGCCAGATGCTAAGAATATTAGAATACCTACATTTACAAAAGATCAGTTAAAAAAGAAAAGTGTGGGAACTGATATCGTATAAGCCTTCAGCTAAAGGGCTGAGAAATCCCAAGTTGTACCCGGGATTCAAGTTCAGTGAGGAGGGGAGATGGCCGGGAGCTGGTGACTACGGCTACAGTCTCTCTGGTATCTACATCATACACAACCTTTCCAATGTCAAATGGCTTCTTTCAGGAAAGGTCCTATTGGCATTGGGAGGCATCAAGCTGACTCTTCTCCTCTCCTTACTGGGTCAGATATAGGAATCCAACTCAGCAGGGCAGGTTAACCGCAAAACAGCAAGGAAGAGAACGGTCAGAGAACGAGAACACATGTGCTTGTCTAGGACAGGCAAGTCAGTTTTTCTCATTTTTAGTTGTTTTTTTTTTAAACATTATAGGAAATCACACTATGTAGCTCAAGACAAACTTACCTAACTTTATTAAATTCACAGTAGAAAAATCTATATTTTTCTTTATTTTTTAACTTTAAAAAAGCTAGTAAAATAAATAAATAAAAATTAAAAAAAAAAAAGCTAGTAAGTAAAACAGTATGCTACAGAATGATTTTTCTTTAACACAACCGGACATCTACAAAGAAGTGCTGATTAGCGGTCATTCCTAGGACAAGGGCAGTTCAGTCACAGGCAGCAGAAGCTCAGCACTCTCCAGGCACCTCTGTCTGGTGTCAGCTCCACTGAGGCCCAAGCTCGCACAAAACTGACTACTACCAGGTGTCCAAAGCCAAAACAGACGGATAGGAACGTTTACACTGAAATTACTACTAAGGAAAGAGAAACGTCGTGTTTAAATTACCTTTGTTAGACTGGAAGTTTTAGCATAACATGCAATGCCAGCCAAAACAGCCTGTATAACAGCAGCGTACACCTGGGACAAGAGCCTACTTTAGAACAAAAGATAGGGGTTAACTATAGCATCACAAGATTTCAACAAAAGCTGCACGCACATAAATGACATTCCCTAAGGAACTGATTTTTAAAAAAGAATGAGAAAAGTGCAAAAACGGAACTCACTGATTTCTAAACCTTTTATAAAGATTTATTTATTTATTATTTCAAAGAGAGAGAAAGTGTGTGCGTTCATGGGGGAGTGTGGGGAGGGGCAGAGGGAGAGAGACAGAGAGAATCTCAAGCAGATTCCCTGCTGGGCATGGAGCCTGACTCAGGGCTTGATCCCAGGACCCTGAGATCATCACCTCAGCCGAAACCAAGAGATGGATGCTTAACCAACTGAGCCATCCAGGCACTGCTGATTTCTAAACCTTTTAAAAGCCATGTGCCCCACGTGATTTATACTTTGCTCCTTTTTTTTTAAGTTTCGTAGAGCTTTTTAAAAAAATATATTTATTCGTTTGAGAGAGAGAGAGAGAGAGAGAGAGAGAGAGAGAGAGAGAGAATGAGTGGGGGAGGGGCAGAAGGAGAGGGAGAGAGAGAATCTCTGCGTTGAGCGCAGAGCCTGATGTGGGACTTGATCTCATGACCCTGAGATCATGACCTGAGCTGAAACCAAGAATGAGACTCTTAACCAACTGTGCCACCCAGGTGTCCCTATACTTTGCTCTTATAAAACCAACATAAGAAAAGCCAGCTCTGCTCAGAAGACCAACCCTCCCTGTTTGTGATCCAACAGAAGAGAACTCTGCAGGCTACCTAGCCCCTCTATGTCAGGAGCCTGAATCCCTTCAGTGTCTTGGTACAGACTTTCTGCTTTTTCGGGACCACCCACACCACACCTTCATGTCGTCTCCTCTCGGGCTTACTAAGGGTAGGCTGCTACTGGAACCTCAGGGTGGGAGACCTCAGGAGCAAAAGAGATTACCTCGGAGGAGAAGAGAGCTCCACTTAAATTTAAATTACCAGCTGCACACCACTTTCCAGGCAGCTTACCTGAACTAGAGAATAGAGTGTGTTTCTGAGGGCAAATATTTCCTTCCTAAAGCTCCCTGCTCCTTGCTCGCCAATCCTGCCCTTTCTCTTAGACTTCTCACTTCCCAAAGTGATTATAAGAAGGTTTCTTCCTTCGCCAGACTGGGACTGTTATGAAGGTCCCTAGAAAATCCAAAATCCAAGACTGGTTCCCCTTAAGCAGAAATTTTCAATCTCAGCATTTTGGGCCAGATAATTCTTTGTCATGGGGTCTGTCCTGTGCACTACAGGATGTTCAGCAACACACCCTGGCCTCTAACCATTAGATGCCAATAGTGTCCCCAGTTGGGATAACAAAAATGTCTCCAGACATTGTCAAAGGTCCCTGGGGGTGGGGCTGGAGGAAGAACTGTCCTTGGTTGAGAATCACTACTTTAGGGGAGAGAGATCTGGGATCTTATCAGGATAATTATAGAGAGAAGGGGTTCATCCACAAGGCCCTGAAAGGCAGGGAAGGTGCCTAGCAAGAAACTGATAAAGACTTGCCTAAGAATATGTCTATTTTTATGCCTCAGAATCTTGTAACAAGTAAAGGAAGGTGACTGGAGTTGGAAAGCAGGAAGGAATCCAGAAATGATCTGGTCTAACTCTCTCATCTTATAGGAGAAGCAAGTAGGGCCTCTAGAGGTGGAATAAACTGTCCAAGGCACAGAAAATGAATGGCCAGCTTGACCTCAGGTCTGCTGTTAGCCTGGTGCTTTTCCACTGTGCCAAGTCACACTGCCAATTCCTTTAATTTCCTCCTTGGCTCCCGCAGCACACCTCTACATTTTAGGTAAGAGATTTAAGTTGGGTAGAAGAAAAAAAGATAGAAAAAGTATACATAACAAAATGACAGCTCCAAGGATCAACATATCCTGAAGACTGTTGGCCAGGCCACAACAGAGGGGTAGGTCTTGGTAGGAAGGGGTCTGGCAGGGACACTGACAATGAGCATGGCCACTTCCAGGTAAGACCAGAATCCTCCACACCTTGACACCAACACCAAGCACATATAAAGATGCCCCTCCTCCTTTCCCCACCCAGCTTGACTCAGACATCACTCAGTGCCAACAATGTTTTGGCCTCCCCACTGCTTGGCCTTCTCCTATACAACCCCTCAGACACCAGCTGAGTGCAAAGCCGCCTGGCTATGGACTTGTTAAATGGCCTGAATGGGAGGCGCGAGACTCACGCCTGGATGGCGCTGCTGTTGCCCTCACTAGGACGCCTTCAGGCCCGAGCTCCACCAGCTCTGTGATTCAGCAGGTCTCTGGGTGGAGGCCCAAGCACTGGTCAATACTAGTCCCTGAAGCCGGGCACCAGTGAATGTGGATTAGGAGAAATGCCTAAGGGTCCAGAATAAAGATCCAGGCTGAGCAAAGCTGGCACAGAAGTACCAGCAGGGACAGGGGCGCCTTCGGCTCAGGTCATGATCTCGGGGTTATGAGATCGAGCCCCATACTGGGCTCCATGCTGGGTGTAGAGCCTGCTTAAGATTCTCTCTCTCCCTCTCCCTCTGCCCCTCCCCACACCACTCACGTGTGTGCACTCTTGCTCTCTCTTAAAAAAAAAAAGAAGTACCAGCAGGTACAAAGCAGGACTATATACACCCATACTCATATGAGAATGTGGTTGACTTGTTAAAGGGCAGAAAACCCACACACTAAAAAACTGCATACACATTAATTACAGCTATACAAAACCTAAATGTATAATTTCTAAAAACCCAGAAAGATACATAGAACTTGGAATTAAAGCCTCCAGAATTGTAAGAAAATAAATTTCTGCTGTTTAAGTGACCCAATCTGTGATATTTTGTTATCGTAGCCCAAGCGGACTAACATAAACATTAATGAGTTTATTTCTTATCTCTGGTTCCCTGTTATATGTGGGGGAGCAAAGTCAACACTAGGACCTTTTTAAAGTTGCACAGCCTGAGTTCAGATCCTAGCTCTATTCCCTAAGCCTAAGAATCAAATCCAGAGGACACACTACTCAGACCAGAAGGGGTTTCCCACAGATTCTCCCAATGTGTTTCAGGATGTTTTATTTTTGGGAAAGCCCCTGATAAAAAAAAATGTATCAAGTAGAAGACATAGTAAGAAGAATCACACCATTAAAATGGATGGGTTTGCAGGCAGGAAGTCTCTTGAGTTCTGGAAAGAAGAGCACATGGCAAAGCTGGCAGGACTCCAAGCTGAGAGACAGGGGCTAGGAAACCATGGCTCTGCTCACCGCTTCACCCAAATGTCCTACCCACTGCTGATCTCAGAGGAGTTAGACGGGACAGCCACGATTTGAGTAACTCAACTTTGAGAAAGAAAATATAAAACAGAAATAAAGACTTACATTTGTTCAGTTTTCTTGGGCAGCTTATTCTCATCACCTGTGAAAGAGGACCATGAATTAAGCGTCACAAGGTCACAGGTCATGCAAACACTTCACAAGGAGGCTAGAATTTCTTAATTCGAAGGAGATGTCAAGAACTACATTTTTTTTTCTTTTGGGTTAAATACAGTACAATCACAACAGCTTTTTCCAGTATCCTCCTAGACCTTCACTCCTGACAGTGATTTCGACAACCCACTCAGCATCACCTCTAAACACCAGAGAAAACATGGGGAATCTTAGGTTCTAGAATGTTTTTGCCTTTTTTTTTAATTTTTTAAATTTATGACATATAATTAAGTAGGCTCAGTTCTGACTCTTTTTATCATCTCCTTAATTAGCTGACCCTTAATTATCATGCTTCTTTCAGAGTTTCCTGGCTTATACAGCAACACCCAGGTGAAAACCTGGTTTCTGCGGTACTCTGCTCTGTGGACCAGTGCTGAGATCCTCATTCATTCTAGAGGTTCTTCTCTAGGTTTCTTTGATTACCTGCAACTTCTGATTACCCTAGCAAGAAGGGCACCCCAGTGGGCCTTACCCTTCTGGATGGCCCTGCAGCATGGAGCTCTTGCTCCTAGGAATGTTCCCAGTTCACAGGTACCCTTCGACCATGGCCCTGCTTCAACAGAACAGCAGGCGCCTGGCTGACTCATCCAAACTCTCACTGTAGCCCGTATCTCCTGCTATCCCCAACTGGGACTTACTCATCTTTGCCTTCCCTCTAACACTGAGCACACGGTCTCACACATGGTTAGACTATATACATGTTGAGCTGATAATTACTCCTCCTGAAATACATTCTTTGAGAAATGTGTTAGGTGCATCAACTCTCCATCTGGAATCAGAGAGGGAGTGGGAGGCCTTTACAAAGTGGGTATCATGAGCTTCTGAGGAAAGCAGTAAATTATGAGTCCATTTCTAGTTCATGGGAGAAATTATTCATTAGGGAAGCTGATGAGATGACAACAGACAGGGACTTACCCAAGTAAGGAACATGAGTAGCTCCAAAAAAGTATGTTCTTGAACAAGCAAGGGGTCCCTTTGGTGAGACGCACTGTACTACCTAGATGTCAGGAAAAAAAAGTAAAAAAGGAGCAGGGATTTAGGTGTGTACTGCTGAAAAACGAAAATTATATAGTTAATGGAAATCAATTTTATCTCACCAACAGCTATTTATTATTTTTTAAAGGCACAGGGAAAAGATCACCTTTAATTGTTTTTCCAGAAGTATTTTGTGTTGTGTGTGGTTTTTTTTAAAGATTTTATTTATTTATTTGAGAGAGAGAAAGTGAGAGAGAGAGAGCACAGTAGGGGGAAAGGCAGGCAGAGGGAGAGGAAGAAGCAGGTTCCCAGCGGAGCCACCCAGGTGCCCCTTACGTTGTGTTTTTAACTTTGGCTATTTTGTGAGGTTGCTGCTGGGTCAGCGCATGATGTTAACGAATTCACAACTTAGAAGAGAAAGAGGAAATGTGCTTGGGTTTTGATTGTCATTAATAGTCCAGAACTTTCACAGTGAGGACCTTGCCCGACATGACAGAGAGATGTGTGGGGGCAGCTATAAATTCAGGAAAGGAGGGTGTGCCCCAGGTCTCCACCTTCATTTGTATTTCATCTCTGTACATAGGCCTTGGAGAAGAGACTTAAAAATTCTTATTCTTCGGGGCGCCTGGGTGGCTCAGTTAGTTAAACAGCTGCCTTCGGCTCAGGTCATGATCTTAGGGTCCTGGGATTGAGCTCCACATCAGGCTCCCTGTTCAGTTGGGGAGTCTGCTTCTCCTTCTCCCTCTGCCTCTCTCCCTGTTTGTGCTCTCTCACTTGTGCGCTTTCTTTCAAATAAATAAATAAAGTCTTTAAAAAAGATAAAATAAAAATTCTTCTTCTTCCCTGTTTAGTTACTGCTGGGCAAGAACAGGAGTTCAGATCCCCCAGTCTGCCTCCGCTGATGCCACCATGGCTTGGGAGAGTGACAGACACTATGGGCAGGGGGCAGCCTTCTTATGGCTGAGTGGTGGTGAAAGTCCTGACTCCACTAGACTCCAATTATACTACCCCAAGGAAGAATACCTCGTTACTGCTGGGTAGGGGTGGATGTCCAGGCTCCCCTGTATTTTCCATCGATACTGCAGGGGGAAGGAGAGTTCACTGGGGGCCAGTGGGGATGAAAATCATGGCTCCCTAGTGGGCCTTCTCTAACAATCTTAACAGGGGTCAGGGTAAGGCAATGGCAAAGGCAAGGTAGACCCTAGGCTCTTCACTCAGCCCTTATTGGTAGGGGTGGATGGAGAGGCAGTTTTTTTCTGAGGGGTTTGGCTGGAGTAGAACAGCTGTTGTCTAAAAGTTTTCTGTCTTGCTAGGCTGTCCCCTTCCTAGTCCTTCTGCCAGAGACAGCAGGCTTTTCATATTTCTGCCTATTGGCATTTCTGCATTGTCAGCTCCTCCAGTATCCAGTCTGGGATATACAGGCAAAAAGGAACCCCAGAAAACTCACTGCCATTGTGTCCCTTTGGTCCTAAGCTCGTCAGCCAGCCTGCCTTCTTCTACCTTCCAGAGTCTTCCCATGTTTGTTTTACATATAATGTCCAGGGTTTTTAGTTGTACTCAGTAGAAGGAATTGGAAAAAAGTATGTCTACTCCATCTTCCCAGAAGCAGAAATCAGTTTTAACATATATAGTCAACACATATGATTATACAAACAACCCCATGTCATTTGGCATTTCCTGTGTATTCCCAGGGTGCTCTGGGGGTTAAAACGAGGCCTTTACAGGGTAGTAATATCCTGCCTGACAGCATATCCATCCATTCAAGTAGCCCTATATTCCTGGCCAGCTTAGAGTCAGAGAAATTTAGTCCATGAGAGATTCAGTCCAGACAGATTTAGGTCTCATGTTCTCTAATCAAAACTAACAAATAGTACCTACCTCCCCAGCTTTCCTGATTGTCAGGAACATTTTGAAAATACTTAAATTTCCACAGACTTTTTACAATCACTAGAGTCTCATATTTCAGTCTAATGTTTCCTTTAAAAGAGTGTAGCAGACAATTTACCACCAAATGCAAAAGTCTTCTCCCTGGCACCCTCAATAAAAAAACAGTGATCCTCAAAGTTTATGTCCTGAAATGTAACAGTGAAGTCGTATCAAACCTAGTAGGCTTGGAATGAGTCTATTTGCAAGCTAATTTAAAATTCTTATTCTACTGACCATATTACTTATTACAAATTGAACAGTTTGGTTTGAGAAAATATTTTTTTACGCTTTTTCCTTCAAATATTTAAAAATTATGATATTTTCAAATCACACCTAGTACTTATATAAAAATAGTCAGTTTGCAATAACTTCTTTTACTCCAAAACAACTTCAAGATTAAATCAATACACAAACTAGAAAGGTTCCCCTTATCCTCCCCTCCTCCCTATTTAATAAAACCAATTAAGCACCAGGTATCAAGCCACTCACCATGTGTTTGGCAAAGCTCCCATTGGGACCAGTGCTGCGTACCAGATGCCCTTCAGAAGGGAAGTTAAAGTTGCCAGCGTTCAGATTTTCTCGTGTGGAGTGATTACCAAAGAGAACGAATGGCTGCCTATTAGGGCTGGAGTGACAAACCAAAAATGTGATTAGAAAAGAGAGTCCTAGCTAGGGCAACTTCCCAGTGAGTGGGCTCCTTGGGGTTTTCAGAGTGGGTTTTCGGTCCTGCTTAGGGTTTTCAGTCCTGCAGTCTGAGCAAAGTGGTCAATCCAGTCCCCCTAATACTCCTTGCTTGCTGTGAAGTTATGCCAGATGTCTCTGACTCCTCCTACTGACCCACAGGGATCATTTAGGGACATAATTAAATTCAAGCCAGGTTTATATTTTCAGCTTGTTCTACTTCTTAAGGAGAAACTTCCGTAGGTCTGCTGTCCATGATACAGAGATGGAGCAAGTTTCCAGTTTCATACAACAGCATTTTAATAGAAATAGAAATTTTAAAGGATGACGGTTGTGATACTCAGACTATAGGCAGACAACAGAGGCATTAACCATTCTGGACTAGCTTTTAGGATGGGAGGAGGAGAACAGGGTTGCAAATATCTCACTACCACACTCACCTGCCCTGCACGCATCTCTTTCTTTTGTCTCCTCTCTTGGTTAGACTTGTCTGTTTATTTTAGCCTTTTGCTGTCACTTTCTGCTCACTTCTCAGCCCACTTCAGTTGACCCCTCAGTCATTTCACTCCAATTACTCTTGCAAAAGTCACCAAGTGACTTCCACATAGCAAATAACAAATCCAATAGATAGGCTTCAACCTGCCCTTCCTTGGGTCTTTCAGAAGCACCTGATACCCTCTCCCTGCAAGAGCTATTGCATCTCAGTTTCCCCTGTCAGCCATTCTCTTCCTCCATCTGCCTCTGAATATTCCTAGGGTTTTACTTTCAGCTGTCTGCCTCTCCTCTCCTCTTTCATGATCTACCCCGTTCCCCTTCCAGTTCTTGCAGTAAATAAACGACATCATCATCCATCCAGGGACTGAGCCAGACCTGAGACGCCTCCTTAGGCCTCCTTGACGTCTCCTGCCCCTTACCTTCTAAATCCAATCAACCACCCAGGTTTCACTTCTATTTGTCTATTTCCTTCAATCCACATGGTCGCAAGCCTCATCCATGTTGCCATCATTGCTTTCCCAGACGACTGCAATGCTTCCTTACTGTGACCCTGCTTCCACTCCTGCTCTCCTAGAATCTATTCTCCATGGTTCAGAGAGGACAACCTTTCATACATGGAAAGCCTTTAATGCCTTTATGTTATTTTCAGAAGGACTGAATTCTTTCACATGGCCAAAGACTTGCATGGTCTGGCTGGCCAACTTCTTTGGCTCCATGGAAGGCCACTCTCCCCCAACTTTTATATTCCACCAAACCCATCTTCTTTTATGTTCCTTATGCTCTCATCTCAGGATGCTTTTCTCCCTTAATCATCTTTTTTTTTTTTTAAGAATTTATTTTTAAGTAATCTCTACATCCAGTGTGGGTTTGAACCCAAAACCCTGAGATCAAGAATTGCACATTTCACTGACTGAGCCAACCAGGCACTCATCTTATTATCTTTACTCATCATTCAGATCTCCCCTCAGAGAAGACCAGGCTCTCCAGCTATGGTCTTCACAATGCCTTGTTCTTTTCTCCTTCATGGCACCGGAGTTTGTAACTCTGTTATTTTGTGAGGTTGCTTGATTAATGTCTTATTTCTCTACCACACTATACACCCCACAAGGGCAGAGACCATGACTGTTGTTTATTTATTTATTTATTTAAAGTAATCTCTATGCCCAACATGGGGTTCAAACTACGACCCTGAGATCAAGAGTCAAATACTCTACTGACTGAGCCAGCTGGGCACCCCCGTGACTGGTTTTTTGATCATGTATCTCTTGCTTAGTATGTCATATGTTCTCAACAAATAGTACCTAAAGGATATTTTTAAAAGATAGTTTCTGCTATGGACTGAATGTTTGTGTCCCCACAGAATTCACTAACCCCCAAAGTGATGGTATTAGGAGGCAGGGCCTTTGGGAGGTGATTAAGTCATTAGGGCAGATCCCACATGAATGAGATTATAAAAAAGGCTCTTATAAAAGAGGCTCCTGAGAGATCCCTTGCCCTTTCTGCTAGGTAAGGTTATAGTGAAATGACTGCTATCCAAGAGGAAGTGGACCCTCATCAGACATTGGATGGGATAGTGCCATGATCTTGGACTTCCTAGCCTCCAGAACTTTGGGAAATAAATGTTTTTTGTTTATAAGCCACCCAGTTTATGGTATTTTTGTCACGGGAGCTAAAACAGATTAAGACAGTTCCCTTTACCCCTACCCTTTCCTTAAATTGCCCTTAGTGTGTGTCACGTGGAAAATTCTTTACATTCCTTGTATTATTCTTAAAAATACCTCCTTAAGCTTCAGGCAAATAGGGGCTCTTAAAAGTAAACATGACTCTGATTTTTCTTCTGAAGCTAAATTCAAGGTAAATGATCGTAAGTCCCAGCCCTGGCAATCTGTCTCACTTCAAACTCAATTGGAATTAGGGAAGAAAAGAGAGGAAAGAACTACTCTTATCTATCCATCAGGGGAACCATCCCCAGCGGGGGCCCTCCCAATTACCATGACAAGAGAGGTGCTAAAGCAAACACCTCAAGAAAACAAATGCAGCAACCCTGATGCTCCCTGTCTTCCTGGGGCTGGACTTTTAATGCCTGAGCCCTTTGACTCCCCACAAGATGCTGTTGATCCCTGCCTAGCCCTTGGACATTCTGCTTCCTAGCTTTCCTGGGGGTAGGGATGGACTATAAAATTCTTTAGATTTCAGCAAGGTACAATGTTTTAAAAGCTAGTTTACTATAAAACTGTATTTTAAAAAAATATATGTATAGGGGTGCCTGGGTGGCTCAATCGATTAAGCATCTGCCTTTGGCTCAGGCCATGCTCTCAGGGCCCTGGGATCAAGCCCCGCATCACAATGGGCCCCGCATCGGGCTCCCTGCTCAGTGGGAACACTGCTTCTCACTCTCCCTCTGCCTCTATACTCCACTTGTGTGCTGTCACTCTCTCTCAAGTAAATAAATAAAATCTTTAAAAAAAAAATGTATGTATATTAATACAAAAGCAGTAAATGGACAATTTTTCAGGGTATGAATTTCTTACCCTGTGATGACTAAGTCAATTTATATTTTCCTGACTCTACCTTCTGGACTTAGATGCTCCCTCACAACCACCCCCCTCATCAATCCCATTTTCTCTATTACCATTCACCTTTCTTCCCCAAGAAACTTACCTGTTTTCAGTTATATGGCTGGAGATCATTCCATGACTGAAGTAACTTCTGAATGGCTAAAAAAGAAGCCAATATTGTATAAATTAAGATCATAATTTTATAAAACAATCACAAAAACCCCTCATATATGTACATATGTGCATATGTAGGTGTTGTGTGTGAGAGAGAGATGTTTATAGATTATTATAAGAACATGGAAGGACATATGTGGTATAAAGCAACATGAATTTTGGGGACAGGTAGCAAACAAAAAATAGCAAAAGAAATAAAGACAAAAGGCTGCAAAAGAAAAAGGAAGGTAAAGAAAAGAAATTCTTGTTAAGTTTTATAATTTTTAATTATTGAAAGAAAACTGGACCAATCATCATCTATGGTCCAAGTTACTAATCATATAGGAATTTTTCCCTTCTATTAAAAATTTGTTTTTCTACATTTCTAATAAAGGAATATATATTAATTCTAACATACTGATTTATTTTTATATTTATTTATTTATTTATTTAAAATTTTATTTATTTATTTGAGAGAGCGAGAGAGAGCACGCACAAGAGCAGGGGGAGGGGCAATGGGAGAGAGAGAAGCAGACTCACTGCTGAGCAGGGAGCCCAATGCGGGGCTTGATCCCAGGACCCTGAAATGATGACCTGAGCCGAAGGCAGCCGCTCAACCGAATGAGCCACCCAGTCACCCCCTAACATACTAATTTAAAATCAGCATTGAGAAAGAATCCACAGAACTTATAAGTACACCGAAAGAAGTTTACCAGGAAACCACAGAAGTACTTCTCTGCCTTGGTGTACAGTACTAGGCTACATACTAACCTAAAATTGATATGCAGGGGCTATGTCAAAAGGGTTCAAAATTCCAAAAGGCAATTTTAATACATCTAAATGACATCTATTGTTCTCCCCCCACCCTGATTATATAAATAATACATGCTTATTTTAGAATTTAATAAAAGCCGTCTACAATCTCTAATAACTGTTAACATTCTGGTATATTTTCTTCCTATTTTTTTCTATGGTACATCCATAGTATATGATTGTACTAAAGCCTATTAAATAGTCCTCTATTCTTAGAAATTGCTACTAACTCTCTTACATACTGTAATAAACAACTTTTCATAAATTTTATTTGCAGCTCTAATTATTTCCTTAAAGCAGATCTGGAAAGGAAATTACAGGGTAAAAAGGCAGAATTATATTGCTAAACTGATTTTCAAAGAAGTTTTATCTGGGACACCTGGGTGGCTCAGATGGCTAAGCATCTGCCTTCAGCTCTGGTCATGATCCCAGGGTCCTGGGATTAAGTCCTATATCGGGCTCCTTGCTCAGCAGGGAGCCTGCTTCTCCCTCTGCTTGTGCACTCTCTCTGACAAATAAATAAATAAAATCTTTAAAAAAAAGTTTTATCAATATACACTTCCACTTATGATACATGAGTGTGCCTATCTCAGGGTATCCTCATATACACTGTCAATTAAATGTCCATTTAGAAATATATTTGCCAAGTTGATAAGTGAAAAATGGTATCTCTTGGGGTGCCTGGGTGGTTCAGTCATTAAGCGTCTGCCTTCGGCTCAGGTCGTGATCCCGGGGTCCTCGGATTGAGCCCCGCATCGGGCTCCCTGCTTGGCAGGAAGCCTGCTTCTCCTTCTCCCACTCCCCCTGCTGTGTTCCCTCTCTTTGTGTCAAATAAATAAATAAAATCTTTAAAAAAAAAAGAAAGAAAAGTGGTATCTCATTGCTGTTTTATTATACATTCCTTTGATTTCTAATGAAGTAGAGTATTTCAGATATATTCAATGGCCATCTGGATTTCCCTTTGGTAATTAACTGTTTACTTACACCCTCTGGATGTTCATCAGTTGGGAGTTTTGGTGTTCACAGATCTTACTCCACACAATGGAGTACTATGAATCATTAACAAAGGATGAGGAAAATCTCAATGAACTGACTTGGAGAAAGTTCGAGGATGTATTTTTTTTTTTTAAGATTTTATTTATTTATTTGACAGAGAGAGACACAGTGAGAGAGGGAACACAAGCAGGGGGAGTGGGAGAGGGAGAAGCAGGCTTCCCATGGAGCAGGGAGCCCGATGCAGGGCTTGATCCCAGGACCCCAGGGTCATGACCTGAGCCAAAGGCAGACACTCAACGACTGAGCCACCCAGGTGCCCCTCGAGGATATATTCTTGTTGAGGGAAAAAAGCAAAGTGGAAGTGACTCATGTATCTTGCCCTTCAATGAAAGAAACAAGAGAAAAGACACATGTACCTGCTTATTTGTGCAAAAGAAAAAAAGATAAATCAGAAATGAAAAGATTTGTTACCTATTATTAGTGGAGTAAGTGGAAAATGGTGAAGAAAGGGAGGGAATGAGAAGGGGGTGGTAGGAATGAAGGAGTGACATACATTTCACAGAATATACCGTTTCGAGTATCTTTCACTCTTGGAACCACAGTAATGAGAGAAGAAAAAAGAATCCAGAAAACTGAAAAGGGCATCAATGAGATGCGGAACTACTTCAAGTGGCTTAATAACAGAGGTAATTACAATCTCTGAGAAAAGGGTGGACAAAAAAAATATCTGAACAAATAGTGGCCAAAAACTTTCCAAACTTGATGAAAACTATAAATCCGCAGATCCAAGAAGCTTAACAAAAGCCAAGCACAAGAAATATGAAGAAACTACTCAAAATTAGTAATAAAAGAGAAAATCTTAAAAGCTGCTAGGGGGAAAAAAAAAAGACTAGCTACATACAGAGGAACAAAGATAAAGAATAAATATTAAGATGAACATTAAAGATAAAGAGGAGATGGGGCACCTGGGTGGCTCAGTCGTTAAGCATCTGCCTTTGGCTCGGGTCATCCTGGGGTCCTGGGATCAAGCCCCACATCGGGCTCCCTGCCCCATGGGAAACCTGCTTCTCCCTCTCCCACTCCCCCTGCTTGTGTTCCCTCTCTCACTGTCTCTCTCTCTGTCAAATAAATAAATAAAATCTTAAAAAAAAAAAAAAAGAAAGGAGAACCCTCACAAACAATGTAAGGGAGAAGACAGTGGAAGGGCATCTTCCAGGTACTGAAAGGAAAAAACTGTCAACCAAGAATTCTATACATGGCAAAAATGTCTTTCAAAAATGAAGGTGAAATAAATATATTTTTTCAGACATATGAAAGCTGGAAGAACTCATCATCAGAAGATTTGCACCATGAAGAATATTAATGGACACTCTTCAGGGAGATGGAAATCATACTAAATGGAAACCTGGATCTATACAAAGGAATGAAGAGCATCGAGAACAGTAACCACATGAGCAAATACATAAAATTTTTAAAAATAAATTATTTTTAAAAAGTATTAAAAAGGATTAAAACAAGATTAAAAAGAGAATTAAAAAAGGAAATTGACTGCTCAAACAAAAATAACAGCAATGTATTAGCGGGGTTTATAACACGTAAAGGTGAAATGCATTAACAGCAAAAATCAACACCAACTCTAAAGTCAGGAGTCACTGCAGCACAGGAGAGCTAAGGACTGGCAGTGCAAGCCCAAGGTAGACTCAAGTGTAAGCTCAAGATTGCTCTTCTGATCCTCCCAGCTGACTAACTTTGGGGACTGTCCTATGCCCTGCTTCTTGATTTAGATACCTCAGTTTACTCACGGAGTGAGTCTTACACTGAACCTAGTAACTTCACCATGGTTTACCTGGAAAGAAAGCTTACCTAGGGGTTCAACTGAGGAAAGGAGTGCTACTCACATGTGGAAAATTATTTCTAGGCCTATTAACTAGTGCCCAGTAGAATTCCTTGCTGACAGAGGTATCACCACACTCTAAAATAGTATCTTCCTTGTATAGAAGCTGGCACAGAAAAACAAAAAACAACTTCTTTATAGAGGTTCATAGGTTGGCATGGGGGCTAAAAACTTCTTTACAGCACACAACAAAGCTTAAGAAAATAATAACCAAAACATATTAAGAGTGGTAATTTTGTATTCTGAAAAAAATTAACAAAACTAAAACAGAAACAATAAATAAGTTAATCAATTTTTTTTCTCTTTGACCCTTTCCTTACATACCTCACCCGCCTGAGATTCAGAAAGTTCCAGCAGGAAAGGAATTTCTGTATCAAAATTAGCAAAGAAGCTAGTCCACTGATGTTCAAAAGCCACCAAATCCTAGAAGAAAATGAAAAGGATAATGCATTTGGTCATACTGAGAGGTACTTCAGAAAACCAGAATCATGAAACTGCATCAGATATCAAAATACCAGACCATTTAAATATATTTTAAAAGTTAATAGCGGGGTGCCTGGGTGGCTCAGTCGTTAAGCGTCTGCCTTCGGTTCAGGTCATGATCCCCGGGGTCCTGGGATCGAGCCCCACATCGGGCTCCCTGCTCCGCGGGAAGCCTGCTTCTCCCTCTCCCACTCCCCCTGCTTATGTTCCTGCTTTCGCTATCTCTCTGTCAAATGAATTAAAAAAAAAAGATTTTATTTATTTGACAGAGAGAGACAGCTAGAGAGGGAGAGCATAGATCCAGCCAGTTATTTATTTATTTATTTTCTCCCAGTCAATACACAAGTACCCAGACCTATGGGCTCTTGTGTTACCCATGTACTGACTCTACTTCTGGCCCTAGGCATAAAGCACAATGGACTTCTCTTGGGAATACTTAGTGTAAACAACATTCTTACTAATGGCTCTGCTGCTTGCTGCCCAGATGACCTATATTTTATTTTATTTACAGATAGTTACAGATGTGTATGTGTATATATATCTAAAATTATTTTCAGTAATCATGTAGGTGAAAGTGCTGATATTGTTTTCTATATATGTTTTATATATAATGTGGGATAAAAAAATCAGGCATGTATGTATGAATACACACACACACACACGGAGAGAGACAGACACACAGAGAATTTCCTAGCTCTACCCACTGAAAACATCTAGAAACAATGACCAAACCAACACCAGTGACCATTCCCAGCACCTAGACTGTTGTGTTGAAATACCATTCCCCACTCAAAGAAACCAGAACTTATTAGAGAAATGACTGATTCCAGATCTGGGACAGGAAATGTGTAAGATAATCCAGGAATATCTTGTCATAATATATGGCAAGGAAGTTATCAAGGACTATTAGGATTGTGTTAAAACAATTTGTTACCAACTTGAAGTATGCCACGGCCCAAAGACGGAACAATGTGAACATTAGTAAAGATGATAGCTCCAATGGACAGAAACATCAATTATGTTTAAATCTATGAGTTCAGAATGAGACAAATTAAAAAGAACTGGTTACTTTTGGAGAATGGCTGGGAACCAACTTTACTTTTAAAATTGATATATAAAAGCAAGAGTTCAATTATCTTGCTTTTCCCACATGGACTCTACCACTGCATAACCAAATAGCAAGTTGAATATTTCTCTTCAGAGAATATAAATGAAGAAGGAATTACAAAATTGGAATACTACCATTTTACAATGGTGATTAAAGAATCTAATTAATGAATCAAAGATCTAAGGGTTGCATATCAATGTTCACAAAATAAAAAGTCAATGAGATATATGTACACCCTCTCAGAAGTAGTTTTCCCTCCCAAAATCAACCAGAACACTGACTAAAACTCTAGATTCAACTACCAATAGTAAGGAAATACAGAACACACGAGAAAATGTTAAAACTACATGATAGGAATGAGATCAACAAATCCCATTGAGGACAATATAAAACGAATGATCTGGTTTCCTTAATAAATAGATAGTGAGGGGTGGGGACAAAGAGATGGAGGGGAAACCTATAGATTAAGAGAAACCTACACACACACACACATGCACGCACACACAGGCAAAGTTAAACTAGGTTTTTTTGGAAGTAAATTTTAACGAAAAAGTTGCAAAGGAAAGGGGGTCACTGCCATAGAATTCACGATAGTGTTATTCTTGGGGGAGTAGGAAAGAGGTGATGGGTTTGGCAAAAAGCACTCAGATTGCTTCTGGGGTGGCAAGACTCTGTTACTTTGCTTTATAATGACTCATTAAGCTATATATTAGTTTTATGCTCTTTTCTGAGTCTGTGTTAATAAAAACTTTTTAAAAACACATGCACAAGTAATACATTATTCACTACAGAAAACTCAGAAAATATAGAACAAAAATCAGTTAACATTTTGGAAAATATTCTCATTCTATTTTTACAGATGTATCTTATACACACAGACACACACAAATATGTGCATACTTGTAACTGGTAAACTACAATTATCTGGGTCAGACTGCCCTGCCATATCACCTCTGTGCCATGGCCCAGTAAACCAGACCTTCTGAGTTTGGGATCCTGACCTGCTGCTATCGGGTCCAATCAGTGCTCCTGATCCAGGATCCAAGATAGTCTGTGTGTTTTGGGGAATACAGGAAAAAAGATGGGGCACTCCGTTCCAAAAAATTCCCTGAGGATGTGTCAGTACTAATTACAGAATAAGGTAGAATTAATCATTAAATACTGCTTTCAGTTCCACATTATGAGTGAAATGAAAGATGCGATGAATTCTCATACCAAAAATAACTAGCATTATATATGAAATGTCCATATAAATACACACATATACACATACACAGTCTTAAAACATCCTAACATCCTTGCATTTCTCTATGCCCACTTTATAGATAAGGAGACTGAGGTACTGAAGAGTAAAGCGACCTGCTTGAGGATGGAATACTAAAGAGCAGAAGTGGAAATATATCTAGGTAAGAGATACCCAGAACCTGTGTTTTTTCCACCAGGCACACTATTCTCCAACTTTTCCCTATTATAAATGGTGCACTTGTGGAAATAGATACTGTGCATGTAGGTGGAACTGGTCAGTTGCATCCGATGATGAAGAAGGGGAAGTTTATCTGCACAGACTCTTTGAGGCCAAAATCCGAAGACAAGCCCAGATAGATATCAAGGTCAGATAAGCAGCAAAGGTCTGAAAACCCCAAGAACCATGCCAGTCTGCCTTGGTTCTTGGCTGGTAGGGAAGGATACTGAACTTTAGACAGAATTCTTGGCCCGAGGCTGCTATCCAGCTCTCTGGTGGCTCAAAGTCCATATCCATGGCACCACAGGCAAGCTGACTTGGCTTAAGGACTAGGCAAAGGGAAAGCAGTCATGTTTGAGCAGTTGCTCTCAATGTTCAAAAGGAGATGATTCTGGGGCTTTCTGTGTATTTCTGGGGCTTTCAGACAGGTTCCTTCCCTGTGGCTAGAATGTTCATATCCCTCCTCTTCTGGAAAATCTCTGATCACCACACAAGACTCCTTTGGGAAGCAATCCTGAGCAATTCCAGGCAGAGTTATTTTCCTTACCTTCTATGTTCCACTGCAACTATAGCAGTTACTAAAGTATACTGCTATTACTGGTCTAAAAGCCCATTAAACAGTGTGAGTGGGGGCCAGGTCTACCTATTTCTGAGACTTTAGTATAAGCATAGTATCCAAGAAATAGCAGGGATCAAGGACTACGGATTTGTTGAAGAAACCAACAAGCAGGGGTGCCTGGGTAGCTCAGTCGGTTGAGCATCTGATTCTTGATTTCGGCTCAGGTCATGATTTCAGGGTTGTGAGATCAAGCCCTGTATCAGGCTCTGTGCTGAGCGTGGAGCCTGCTTAAGATTCTCTCCCTCTCCCTCTGCCCCTACCCCCCACTCATGCCCTCTCTCTCGCACAAAACCCCAAAGGCACTAACTATACTGACTAACAAGGGTAGAAAAAGGATCAATTTCAGTATTTAAAAGTATTTTTAAGAATTACATAATGCAATAAAAATGGGAAAATGAAAATAAAATAAAATAAATGACCAGTAAGACTACCACTGGAGGGGTGCCTGGGTGGCTCAGTCATTAAGTGTCTGCCTTCGGCTCAGGTCATGACCCCAGGGTCCTGGGATCAAGCCCCACATCGGGCTCCCTGCTCAGTGGGAAGCCTGCTTCTCCCTCTCCCTCTCCCACTCCCCCTTCTTGTGTTCCCTCTCTCGCTGTCAAATAAATAAATAAAAATCTTAAAAAAAAAAAAAGACTATCACTGGAGTTTCTAAGACAGAAACACAAATTGTTTTACAAAGATGGAAATAATACCTTTTACTTTGCCAAACATATTTTGAACTTCTCTATCAAATCCAATTCTAACACATGATTTTAAATGACAGTATAACGGGCCACTGAACAGATTTATTTAATCTAATTCCTACTGTTGGACATTCACTTTGTCTTCAATTTTTATTAACAGTTTTTATAAACAATTCTTCAGTGAACATCCTTCACTGGCATCTTTAATTATTTTCTTGAGATAAATTACTAGACTGAAATTGCTGGACAGAGATGCCAAATGTTCCCTCCAGACAGGCATTTCACCTATTCCACTGAAGGACTCACTCTTACTCTTTGGCAACTGGCAACTCTACTCTCAGCCTTTAACAAATTTCTAGCATTTTAGTAGATGAAAAAGTAGCACCTCCTTGTAGTTTAATTAGTGTATCTGTGAGTATGGGTGCAGTTCATCTACAAGGAGTAGTTCATGGAAAAAATTACCAATAAAATAAAAAAATAATACTTCTGAGAGGAGTCTGCACTCTCCCTCCATGAGATCTGAGCAGGAAGCATGGAGCTGTAGGTTCTCTGGCCATCAAAGAGCCACCAGCAGTGACTGGCCAGTGGGAATTAAAGCCTAGATGTCAATTCTGGCTTAAGACTACAAGTCTTGGCAAAGGGGAAAGAGATGTGAGCAGAAAAAGTATTTGGATGGTGAACAGAAAAGAGGGTTTTAGAGAAGTTTGGAGGCCACAAAACAGCTCAGAGAAGGGAGAAGAAAATAAGGCAGATTTTTAAAAAGTAATATGGGTATAAATCGCTCACTTTTCAGTAATTTTTCTAGAGATACAAATAAAGACTAGAATTGCATTTTAATTATTTTTGGTTGTTGGATTCGAATTTTATTAAGAACATTTGTAGACTCACCACAAGAGATCCCTGCATAAATTTGTGGTCATTTTTATACATGTTTATGGTAATTTTTATCCTATGTGGGGTTCAATGAGCTTCATGGATTTGTGGACTGATTTATTTCATCAGCTTGGAAAGTTCTTGGACATTACCAACTCAGATTTCCTGCTGCATTTTCTCTCTACTTTCCTTCTGGGATTCCAACCATACTACATTAGATCATTTGACATTGTTTGGCAGATACTTGATGCTCTGTTTTATTCCCCTTGGTCTTTTTATCTTGGTCCTTCAGTTTAAAAACTTCCTTTGACCTATCTTCAAGTTCACAGAACTTCTCTTCATTTGTATCTAACCTGCTGTTAAGACAATCTAATAAATTTTTCATTTTAGGTATAGTATTTTTCATTTCTAACATTTCCATTTGGTTCTTTTTATAGTTTTCAGGTCTCTGCTGAAATTCTTTAGCATTTTTATTAGTTATTTGAAGTTTTCCATTAGTTAATTCCAATATCTGGATCTAATCCTCTTGACTGTTCCTTTTTTTTTTTTTTTAAGACTTTATTTTTAAGTAATCTCTACACTCAACGTGGGGCTTGAACTCACAACCCTGAGATCAAGAGCTGCAAGCTCTACCAACTATGCCAGCAAGGTGCCTCCCTATTGACTGTTTCTTTTTTCTTTCTTTTTTTAAGATTTTATTTATTTATTTGACACAGAGAGACACAGCGAGAGAGGGAACACAAGCAGGGGGAGTGGGAGAGGGAGAAGCAGGCTTCCC